TTCAGTCCCTCGCGAGCCACCAACGCCTACGTTCCCACCATTCACAGGAGGCCGAACAGCACGGACGGGCGAGCAGGGACGTCCGGCGGCATGCGTGCTTGCTTTTTTGTCTGAATTCACTACGGCGATTTGCTACGGGTTTGATTAATGCCGGACAAGTATTGGAGGAATGCGCTGTCGTATGTTTTATAGGTCTGTATCTCCGGATTGCGTGGTGTCTACGGACGGAAACGAGTCTGGGTACGATGATGGTCGACATGTACGTGAGTCCGATTTGAGCTCAAGTTGGGTGACGTTACGCGTAGTAAATCGTAGCTATTATATAGGCTAGTAAATGACGAATTTCCTTGTTTATTTGGAGTCACACTCCTTCGCGTTATTACTCCTGATCTATATATATATATATAGTTTCAACAGTAACAAAAATGAGGGAACCTGGGTAATGTTTGTTGAATGTGTAATCAGTTAGCAAAGAACATTCTTTTATTGATCAAACGCATGTACATACATCATTAAATTTTTCTCTGCAAAGCATATATGCGTAATACATCCCATCTAAATACTCCACTATGGAACATGCCAATTGCGGAGGGATAAATTTTAACATACAACAGACTATTAATAGTGCAGCTGAATATCTTCATAGCTAACAGACATCTATATTGTTACATAATTCACATGAATGCCACTGGCATCAAGGTTATAAATTCTCAATGATCATTAGTCTGGCATCACGACCGTTGTACAACAGCGACAGAAATAACAATCACTTATCAAAAGTTCTACTTAGATCTCTCCAGATCAATTCCAACATCTCCAGGGGCCTGTTGCCAGTAACAGTTATGACATCGTACGGGGCTGTGCAAATGCAATTTAGACAGACGCATGAACAACAAACGTATTTTCCAAACGAGACACTAAGGGTGACTATCAAACTGAGTCTATATAGCTCTCTATTGCTTTCAATCACTCACTCTATATCTCTCCACCTCGCACTCTCCCTCTCCCTCTCTCTTATACACACTCACCCGCCGCTTCTCGGCCCCTCTAACTAACTCTCTAACTCATCTCCCTCGTTCTAATCAAAGCGAGAACACACATTTAATCAAATTTACTGCTAGTGCAGTTCTCTCCAATGTGTTAAAAATACCAAGATGCAGAGGAGGGCATTTGAAACTTGGTTATCTAATTACAGATCATGGCTGAGGTAGTGGTGTCTTGACCTTCAGGAAACCAGAGGACGAGGAAAAGTACTTTGCATCGTCCATCTTTTTCTCTGCAGCACCAGGGTTTATAATCTCCAATCCCTGAAAAAAATTGCATAAAAACTCACGCATACTGATTTCCCACGTCTATCAATACTGCTAGCACTGGCTGCTCTCTCAACAAATGTTGGAGCTTAGGGATTAAACTAACTATTGCAAGATTTTTGCTCAGAAAAACTAAATATAGCTGAATATAGTCGCACCTGACAGCGGAAATATCACCGATTACACCAACATTAAAAATACTAAGATTTTATGCAGTTATAGCATAGAAAAAGCTTTGCCCCCCCCCCCCCCCGCACCACCACCACCACCACTACACTTGCGCTCGACGCATATCCATGATAACGTTAATATAGCGAAGTCATTAAAGTTACACAGCTATAATTTATTACTGTACTATCGGTATAGCAAAGCCTATCAACGCGGTGGCGGGAGGATGCACTTGATTCGGTTGCCAGTGAGTTTATCAGAAGAATAGCCAGCTACAGTACACGTCAGTTGAGCGCTGTCGCTCTGCGGAAGGGGCTCTAATAGCAAAAGCAGTTCAGTCCTTTGTTAACAGTCAACAAATCCATGTTTAACCCGCCACTTGAGGGTCAAAAGGTTATCCGACACTTACTCTTCGCACGTCAGCGAAAAGTAGATTTCATGGTCCTTTCAATAAAGTGATAAAAACGGTAGGTCAGCGCTGAAACAAAAAAGTTTTCCACTCGGTCCGTTAGACCATGTCCTCAGAAAATGTCTGATATCTGACCTTTCCCCAACTGCCCTTTAACCTGTGACCTCCAATTTCGCACTGGTGATGGGTTTCCTCCCCATCACACTATACACCAAATATTAAGAGCGTAGGTCAAGCCGTTGAGATTTGTGCCGCAATTCCGTATTTCCTCCTATACCTTAAGTTAAGGGGGAAATATTCCCTCTCTACTGACACATCTTGACCTTTGACCCCCAAATTCGACATCCCGAGTCCTTTTCGCGACTAATGCCTAATGGCAGAATTGGTAAACTTGTATTTGTGTCGGTGATGAATTGAAAACAAGTGCATGATTTGAGAGAGCCTGTACTATATCTACGGCAGATAGGCGGTGGTGCCACAAGCTAATCCATACTTCCGGCTAGTTCACAGGCCAGCCAAGATGACAGGAAAAGATTGTTCACAAAAAGTAGTAGTTCGAAACTGGCACTTTTCCGGTGAATACAAAGGTTCGAAGACATTTTATTGTTACTCTAGACAATTGCTGTTACTCAAGCAATAACGGTAGGTGTCATGAAAGTGGGAAAACACTGGAAAACTCTCGCAATAGTTACTTTAATGGGAGAAGAGAGCACTTCATGTGCACTGACATTGCAGCACCAGCACGGCATTACCTGCAGGGGGGTGAATGCAACACTGGAGGCTGTTCCGGATACAGATCCCCTTATCGTTGATCGACCGCCTATGGTCGTCACTCCACCATAAGACTTCTTTGTCAGCGTTTTCTGAAACACAAGGCAACACCAAATCTCTGAATATATAGTATCATTATGGTCAGCAATGATGAAACCACATTACATTTTGTTAGGGCTAACGTGTCTGCGTTTTCTCATGTGTGGTAGCCTAAGAGCAGTATTAGTGGGAACCTGCTGTTGAAGCATATGCTGTATGCATGCAGTATTTTGTATGTATGCACAACATAAAATTCGTGTGATATAAACTTGTCTACTCAGTAGATAAATGTTGACCCATGTGTACATTCAGCAAGAAACGTTATCGGCATGGGGAAGCACTATAATTCACTGACTTGTAAGTAGTCAGGCAATGTTTGAGCTAATCACCCACATCACAGATAATACACATGTCTACAGTAAAGTCTACGTCAAGTAGCAGTGCCAACGCATACATTTAGAGTCTTTGATATTCGGACACGGGTCTTCTCATCAATCTGTGGACCTCGTATTCGGCCATGACCACCCTTCCCTATAACACCGGAGGAGAAGCCTAGGTCTTCCTGGTAAGCATCCTCCTCAATCTGAAAGTGTAGAAGATGCAACACTGAGCTTCATAATCACAAAAGTTCTAGCAGAAAAGTTACCATTTCTACCAAAAACTCAAGGCAGAAGACACCTGTGTGACAGTTCGTACGAGAAGATAAAAGTCAAAAAAGGTATACCTTTTGCAAGAAAAAGTGAAAGTTAAGAAAGAATCAATCCTGTGATGCTTGATAAAACTAGGTAAAAACAGACCAATTAAATAAAAAGCATTTTGATGCACTGAGTCAGTGTGCAGATAGAACAGTTAGTAAATAAAAGACAAGGGGAGAACGTGAGAACACAAGATATTAAGTATGACACTTACATCACCAAACGACATCCTGTTTGCTTGTTTACGTAACTCTGTCACGCCTAGCCGCTCTTTCATTCTTCTCACTCTGCACATTTAAAAGCAGTTCAATATAATTAATGAAATCTCACTGCAATCTCAGTATATCTTGTTCATCTAATGCAATGATGGCTTAGTGTTGCTTATTTAAGGCCTTGTCACTACATTAGTTACCGTTTGCCACCTCGCTTTTTCCTAGACTGTTCAATCGGAGCAGGGAGAGCCTTGATTTGCTTTATGGGCGGAGGTTCTTGTAACTTGTCTAGTTTCTTTTCAATATCTTCCTTAAGCATGTGTCCAATCTAAATGTAAATACATGTGTAATGCACATACAGCTTTTACGTGTTTTATATAGATAATTAATTTGACGTAAATTAGGTGACCCAGGAAAAAAGACACTCTCAACATAATCCTTGAACATCGGACAAGAATCTCACCTTTCCATCGGAGCTTTCATGGCATGCATCAACACGAGCTGCCATAGCACACTTTGCGGACACCAACCTTGCAGCTTTTCTTCTAAGATCCTACAATGGATAGAAGTTTGGTGGCAACAATGAGTTCACCTTTCGGGTTGGATTTAGTAGTAACACTTATTTCTATTGTAATTTCGGCCTCATCCAGTTAAAACCGCATTCCCCCAACGAAAGAATGTTATAAATGTTTGTAGACGTGCTACATTATACATAGACCATACAAAAATGTTCCATAAACACCACGTTTAGCACAAACAAGCCTTGTAAAGAGATGAATGTAGTTAACAAAATGAAATCAAACAACCATAACCATTCGGTCAAAATTTACCAGAGTTTAGAAGCACACAGCAACAGTGCCTAGTCTAGTCTAGGATAGTATTTGTGTACAACAACAAATAAACCGTTTTTAAAAAACCTCATAATGAACTGGTATTGAGAAAATAATATCCTCTTACCAAACCTTACTTTCATTAATAAATATTAGCAAAAATATAAGCATTTCGGCTTAATTACGTACTTTATTGCAAGCCCCAACGACGCACAGATTTATATACATAGACAGCATGTCAGATGGAGCTGCTATGTCAACATTACTTCAAACAAAAGCATGGGACTATCTTGCAAATGTAAACATTAGAACACAAAATTCAAACAAGGAAGCTTCTGTGTTGGATCTATCGTATCAAAACATTTTTATGCACAAATTGCTTGCATAGAACACGACTTTGAGTAGATAAAATGTGCATTTCAGGGGAAAACAGATTCTAATACAAAACAGATTGACTGCAGGAGTGTGTTATGATAGTCTGACTAAGTCTGTGCACATCATATGTGACACACTAGGGTTAGAAATTGATTTTTCTCCAAGCAGAAAGTAATTGCTGCCAGAGAAAAAAACAGACAGCAAGCTTATGCACCCAGGAAGGAACTTGATAAAACCATAGCAGTTCCACTCCCTCCCACCCCAACAGTACTGTACTGACCTATTGCCATTGTCCATAAGGTAAACGATTTGGCCTCCTTGCCCCGTTTCCCTTGATTATTTTATTCTAAATCTAGTGGCCATGCTTAACCCAAGCTGCACATTGAATTACGTAAGGACGGTAATGTAGGATCAATGCACGTTGAGAAAAACCCAGAACAACTGCCCATCGTGTCGTTGGTGCTTTTTTCTTTGGTTTATTAGGAATTTCTTGACAGCAAATAATTTGCTTCGGAAATTGAGAGCAAGCAGTCAACGGACTCCTGTAGGCAGCAAAGCTGCTGCTTGCCGCCCTTCAATTTCAAACCCTGCACAGCTGACACTACCTGCTGATATTTATATAATTATGATTCTAATAGTGCCACATGTACTCCTTCAGTCAATCATTACACTGCGTGCGTGTGCATGTATGCTTAGTTAACTTACTGGAGGTGTATCCTGAACAAGCGGTGAATAATATATGAAGCCGGTATGAGGCAAGACAGCCACCGTGGAGAACCCAGACAGGGTTCTCTTCTGAGAACCAACCAATAGGATATTACAGGCTGGCATTTTCGACAGAATCGTGAGACCACCTGCAGCGCCTGCAAAACACAACAAAATAAACTCAATTTATTTTGAAATTATGAATTCATTTGTTTAGAACTGCCTATGGGGTATCACTGCCAGTAGAGCGGCACTGCTATCATGGTAATACCACACTGGTCAGCATGCAAGAAAAAACAGTAATTGTGTAAGCGTGACAATGAACTACTAAATGTGACTAAAAACAACTAATCAGTTCTGCAATTTAGAACTTTCTGCATTTCACATGCATGAATGAAAGTTCCTATGTATTCATTTCACTAACTAGTTTGAGTTATTTAGATGATGTTAGTAATAAAATTCTCCTAACGTGTTAATAGATGTCACCTCCACAAGTATCCCTGTGGTTACTTGAAAATCTTGATAAACGTGCACATACATACCCATTAGTTTGGCAGCTGTGGCAGCACCTACAATTATTGAGACATTTGGAGCAATGAAAGACATCCGTGACTCCACATATTCAAGGATCTGCAGCTTACACTCATTCAGTCGTACTGCCTACCAAAATATGCAATATTTACAATTGTTATACACCTGCAAAAAGTACTGCATTGTAATTGATGTAGAGCATGTCAGGTGCCATGAAATACAAATCAATATTGTTCGCTGAAAATCAATGTTGCCTACTGACCACTGCTGCCACTTAGCATAAAACCTTTTTCTATATGCTGCTGGCTGCCCTGACATGCAACAGACTCGAACCAGAGAAAGATGATGGTATATTAGGTCTAGTAATACTTGAAAAATATGGTTATCTAGTCTGCACTGTTGATAGATGCTAGAATAACTAGCACCTCATGTTATTTCTAAGTATATCACATTACAACTAATTTCATATTCGGTTGTCCCATTTCACTGATGGTTAATAACAAAAAGATTTGAAAACTATCTGGGATCATCATCAGTTGTTGACAATTTTGAATTAGTCACCAAAGTGGGTGAAAACAAAATACCCCCGCCGCACATTTTTCAAGGCATGCTCGGCCATAGGCATGCATAGCATGCCACTTGCATCAGAACATACAGAATGCAATTCTTTGCTAAACTCTTAATAGCTCTGTAGCTTTGGCAGGCTAATGGCAGGTAAAATTCGAACAAAAATTCAAGTTCTTATGAAGTCTGGGTTGTAAGGTAACGCGTAGTGAAATTGGACAAATTGATACAAATTTGGCAACGGACTTATATACGTTGATATGACCTTTCATTTATTCTAGTATTCGTCAACACTGCAGGTAAAATAGCCATAAGCTTACTTTAAAGATAGTGAAATCATAGAATTAAATAAAAACAACTTTATATACATCATTTCCTACTAGTAGATGCTACTGCCATTTATTTAATATTTGGTTGGTAATTTTATATTAGTAAAATCCGATTTTTTCCGAATTGCAGGATTTTTTGTGCACAGATTTGATTCTATCTAGGTTTAGGTTATGTATGGGGAAAACCTTTAGGGATGAATCTGACTGAATGTTTTAATTAATGTTTGGGTTAGTGCTTTTTGAATTACGCAAAATAAATCCGTAGCTAAACCTAGGCTAGTAAATATGGATTTATCATTGATCTTTAATATTGTGTCACACTCATACTCTCCAAGTATTATTTACTCGTAATTTCACATATAATGCAACAATTATCGCCTGGTTGCTCGGGAAACAGAACAGTTTTGTGGACCTAAAAAATCAATTCAATGTTACTCAAAATCGTATTAATTTTCTCAGTAATTTTCTTAGTAACTTCATGTCACTGTTGCAACCAGTCAATAATTGCATAATGTTATCAAGAGTACATAATAGAAAAAGAGTATGACACCGTTTTAACAGCGTTTTGCATAGTTTTCAACTTGTAAATATTCTATCCATATGTGAATAAATATATTCAAACTTTACCTTGTTTTCGTCTATGATTCTCCCTTAATCATATGACACCACCAATTTACCTGAAAATCGTATGTGTTCTTCAAAAAAGTTCTTTGAATACGACATGGTTTCACACCGTTTTCACAAATGGACGCATGTTTTTGGCCAAAGTTTATTATGGGATTAGTGTTCTATTGTCTATGACGGAACGCTGGGGGCTGTGGGGGATATTAGGTAAGCTCAGTAACAGCCCTTGTTTCGCTTCCTTATCATCAGGAACACGATGGTAACACAGCTCAAATCAGCTGCTAGCTCGCCGTGAGCACACATTTATTTTTAGCACGCTGGAAACCCAATACACACTGAATACAATTCGATGCCTAATATCCCTTACAGCCCCCAGCGTTCCGTCATAGACAATAGAACACTAATCCCATAATAAACTTTGGCCAAAAACATGCGTCCATTTGTGAAAACGGTGTGAAACCGTGTCGTATTCAAAGAACTTTTTTGAAGAACACATACGATTTTCAGGTAAATTGGTGGTGTCATATGATTAAGGGAGAATCATAGACGAAAACAAGGTAAAGTTTGAATATATTTATTCACATATGGATAGAATATTTACAAGTTGAAAACTATGCAAAACGCTGTTAAAACGGTGTCATACTCTTCTCCTATTATGTACTCTTGATGTTATATACCCATATCTGTAGCAATGCTAACAAACATCAATAATTGTTAAAACATAACTTTTCAATATTGAATAAGATCACAACATAGCTTAGAGCTTACCATATCACATGCTTCTTCAACCTTTTCCAGTTCATGGTGGGTAAGTTCGGTGCTAAAATCATATGACAAAAATTTATGAAATTGCATTCAACTGGATAGTTTACAACTAAAACAGACATCTTTGCCTGGATATTTGTCTTCTATTCAGCCATCATTAAAAGATATATTGTTTGCCATAACATCACCCACTTATCAGAATCATGCCTAGTGTAACCAAATTATCGTTACCGAAAAATGACATTTATGAAACTATATTATACATATATAGCAAATAGCTGAACATGACTTGCTGCTTACTGATCCACCCCTAAAATGACTAACTTAATGGCAGGCTACCTACATATCCCCACTCAATTTTAACTGAATGCTAGTGCATGTGAGGCTATATTACCCTTGGGTTGTGGAAGCAGTGACGCTGACGACCATGATGGTAGCACTAGTGAGTATTTCCAGAAGTTTCTCATTGTTCTTTGCCGCATCTAGGTTGTTTCCCAATGCCTACAAACCAGTAAGAATTGCTGTCGTTAAACAATTATTCTATAATATTAACTCGCAAATTATAAAAAAGAAAGTTTCCTACTTTCACACATTACTAATTTAAAAAACAATTAGCTACTTGCTGCAGCAACAACAGACAAAAAGTTCACACAACAGATCTACTAAAATTACCCTAGTTCTGACCACATATAAATGTTATAAGTTCTATAAAAACTAATTACCTTTACTGTTAGAATATAATCCAGTGGTGCGGTGACTAGAGACTCCAGTTCTGGGAAGCGCTTTGAATACTTATCTCTCACAAATTTGTGAATTATATCTGAAAGAAAATTGGGCAACAAATATGATGTCAAATTCTCTGAGCCATAACACATAAACTATAATAAGCAATGTGAAAGATCAGTGGATATTTGTGAAGCAGATACCTACTTATTTCATTGTCAATTTCGACAGTTAGGTTATTTGCTTGGACGATCACTCTGTACTCTGGGTCTGCTTCCACAGGACCAGACACTGTAAAAACACAAATATAACACGTGATATGCAATAAAAAATTAAATATGCATGTGTAAATGTGCCAACTATAACTTTGTATAAAAGAGAATTCTTGTTGCATTACCTAGTCTAGCCTCGCCAGCATTCATATACATCTTCATTGCATTGATTGTCTCTGTCAACTGAAAGTAATAATAAGATCATTCATTTTACCTAGTACAATGTACACAACATGTTAGAGTGACTAACCTATAGTTGTAATTAAATGCAATGTGTTCACCTACATTTTTCAATTTATTCATTTATACAAAGACATTAATATGACATCATTTTCTATGGTGTATATTTGTAAAAAATTTGTTGCCATTTTTTTACATTAAGGATACTCTCAAGGTTTTAGGCAAAATTTTACCGATTTTTAATTTTCAACTTTATTCGATGGCTAACACTATGTGCCATCACAGTATGTACCATCACTATATGAGCTGAACATGCTCATTTCTCTATATAACGGTACATGTGAACTTCCAGAAAGCGTTTTGATTGCCCGCGTACATGTAGTGAGCCGCGGCTGACGTCATGATGACGTCAGAGACAGGATAGTACAACCAGAATTTTCAATGTACTCACTAGCCTATAACCATCAGGTATCATTCAGCATCTATACAGCTGTCCTCTACAGTAATAGTTGAAATTGCCGTGCGACCGAAAATAGCCCTGTTCCCCTAGTTACACACCTTGCATTTAGGCGTGCGTTTGTTGACATGCAGTGGGCGTTTTTGGCGCGTTTCGGATCATGGTGTGTGGGAACCTCGTAATTTCTTACAATTTCTCAAGGTGCATAGAAGATTTAATCAATTTAGTGGTTGCAGTTAGTCATGGATATGTCGCAGTAAGTACTATAACAGTAGATATTTCACATACGTTCACCCATTTTTCACACAGGCGATCGATCATTGTGAAAAATAGAAAAACGCCGATTTCTCCGTTCCAATTTTTGACATAGTAGCCGATGTATAAATGGATATTTCTCTGTGATTACAACTTGGAATAATTTAATTTTACACTCATTTTAATGGCAACATATTGCTGTAAAAAAGGGTGTCAGGGATTGTTATTAAGAGCCGTATTTTATGAGTTATGTCTGTTTATTCGCTAAAATTTTTAATTCAAACGTGCGACTTGAATTTCAGGCACTTTTTTTCATTTTTCTCGGTAAATATAAAACTAAAAGAACAAGAGCCGCAGAGCGTCTGGGCTCATCTGAGGTCTGTTGCTACGGTTATAAACGTAACATTTAAGTTGTGCGTAGTTTGTACCTTTGTTAGGCGCAGATATGCAGATACGCAATTGCGTACACATCATTTCAGCAACCTTCTGCATTCTGCATACCTCCCAAATCCCATTGGTTGATACAAATCGCGTGCCTGAAACTCCTGTTTTATGGTGCATTGTGACACTAACCCTAACCCTAACTTTATTAAAAAAATTTAAAAAAATTAATTGTTGTTATTAAATTGTTGTAAATAAATCATGTAAATATTTGCGTTAATTGGAAAAAAATAGTTAAATGGATAAAGATAGAAAAATACAGAAAACAGGTAAATAATAAAAAATCAGATGACCGAAGAACGACCTTTGAGCCGTGACGCCTGTGTTGTACGCGTTCGGCTATCCAGGCTTATTGGGTTTCTAGATTATGGATGTGCCATGAATATGACAACACTGTGACGTCATTGAGGCAGTTCACGAATCCATGTTTAACCCTCCTCTTGAGGGTCAAAAGGTTATCAGACACTTACTCTTCGCACGTCAGTGGAAAGCACATTTCATGGTCCTTTCAATAAAGTGATAAAAATGGTAGGTCAGCGCTGAAACAAAAAAGTTTTCCCCCAAATTTGTCATCCTGAGTCCCCCCGTCCGATTTTTCACGATCCCCCCCCCCAACGTCCCGAATATCGTGACCGTACGTCGAGCGGTTAAGATTTGTGCCCAACTGTTGACGGACGCACGGACGCACGGACATGCGATTCTACAAGCTGCATCTGACTACGTCAGATGAGCCAAAAATCCTGAAACCCTTTTTTGGTACATATTGTGCGGTAACATGTGGCGAAAATTTTGTATCCTCACTCTTTCTGGTAATTGAGAAATATCCAAAATAGCTTTTTTACATAAAAATTCAAAATTAGTGTGGTAACATAATTAGGTGCTGGAAATTTCATGGAACTTTTTGGCTTGAGCATAGAGATATATCTCCTCTATAAATAAAACAAGTGATTGATTCGATTCATTCATCAATAAATGTTTAATCTTCATTAGAGCAATACCCGTGCAAAAGGTGGAGAGTATCCTTAAAAGTAAGTACTAACAGGACAAAATATATCGTCAAGCGCTAATAAAAACGGAAAAACGGGAAAATAGTGCTATTTCACGGCAATATTATTCTACTTTGCCTGCGAGTCTAGAATAATTTTATGGTATTGCATTAAGCAGAATTCTTTGCTTTCTAAAACAAGACCCACCGCTTGTCAATACGATACTCCTAGGCTGAGATATTGGCTTGTAAACTTCCCCTCCCACAGGCCTCACGGCACCTCGCATCCACATTATTCACTATCCTTCTCGCCTTTTGCGGGTTAGGAAAGTCGCTTCGTGAGAGTTCGGTTTTTTCCGCGATAACTTTATGAATGAACGGCGTTTCGGTTATCATCGGTGACTTTCAGGGGCTTCACCTATGCCCTTATCTCCCATTGTCTTTCCTAGCACGGCTAATGCCCGTCATGATGGAGCCGGCAAGGTTTTCTAAATTAAGTCTCTACAACGCAGCTCAGTTACTATAATATGGTGTAGTAAGAGTACCAAATTTGGGCATGTGACATAAATTATCAGCGCTCCAAGCGGTGACGGAAAACGATAGCCAGACCCGCAAAAAGCGAGAAGGATAGTGAATATTATGGATGCGAGGCGGCATGAGGCCTGTGGGAGGCATGATTACGCTCCAATATCTCGGACTAGGAGTATCATAGAGACAAGCGGTTGGTCTTATTTTAGATAGCAAAAAATGCTGCCTAACGCAATACCATGAACTTAGTCTAGAACCGCATACAAAGTAAAATAATATTGCCGTGAAATAGCACTATTTTCCCGCTGTACACTCTAGGTATTTATTAGCTCCTGATATCGTCCAATTCTTACCTGATAAGATTGTTTCTCAACTAGTTAAAAATCCAAAAAACCTGGACGATTTGATATTATGATCCTGACATTAATTGCTTGCTATGGGCTATGTATGAGTCACGAGTGTATGTTTACATCGAACAATATAGTAAAATAGGGAGTATAATGCAGCAATTTCAATATAAAAGTGAACAGAATTACTTTCATTTTGTGAAAAAGTGGAAATATTTTTTTTTTACTTTTACTATTTACGGTGATGTAATCACTTTAATCATACACTCGGAAAAATCATCTAGGTCACAATATGATTTCGGTCCACAACTAAATGAACCCATAAGTAGTACTTCACACCACATACACTCCCGGGGGCTCACTATATATGCAGGTATTACCCCATGTGCGTTCTCACTAAAAATAATAGGCCCCCTAGTGCGAACTGCACATTGTTAAACCCTACCCCTTATTGCAGACAAAATTGAAAAGTACCACCCCCTATTGCATACACAATGAAAATATCCCACCCCCTATTGCATACACAATGAAAGAGTCCTACCCGGACCCCTACCCCCTATTGCGAGGTCTTGCTCATCTTGCTCCTCGTGATGACTGATGATTGTTGTAGCGGGGTTTAAGTTTCGTGTGCTACGGGGCCGCCCATTCGGGGCCTTGGGTGGGGTACTATGTGGTTCGTCATGAGGGGGCCCATGAGGGGGGCCTACTGCGGGCGCGGTGCTTGACTTGAACGATCCCGAGGGCTTATTGCGGGATTAGCTTTGTAAAGGGGGGCCTATTTGCTCCCGCGCAGGCCCGCGTTAGAAGTTGAAAAACACCCCCTTAACCTGCAAAATTTGGAACGCACATGGGGTAATACCGGCATATATAGTGACCCCACCGGGCATACACTCTAAAATTCATAAAATACGTGAAACATTCATTGAAATCACTACTAACCTGGCCACTACTCATTAGCTTGGCAATACCATGTACAGAGTCGCCACTAGTGTCCACCTGCATCGATATATCACTGACATCCTCAACTTCATTCTTGACCTCTTCATCATGACCTGCCTCTTCCAAATCTGCTAATAGTTCATCAGCCAACGACATGATGGCCAAACAGGAGCTAGAAGAAAGAAGGATTGCTGTCAGGAAAACCCCATGAAGAAAACAAGATCAATGGTCTCATTAAATGGTATCAAGAGTAGATAATAACACATATCTATCACTATCTACACACTATAGATGTGTTATTATCTACTCTTGATGGTATATATAGTTAAAAAATAGGTACAGTATGTCATCATTGTATGTCCTAACATTTAAGCTAGCTCTAGCACTATATAGAACTTCGTTCCACATTAGTTAGTAATTACTATGACATGAAGTCTATAACATGGAGTGTTACAGCCACACTATAACCTAATTCTAATGCAGTATTCAGCATAGAGAAGACACACAATGTATAGACACATCTATAGCCACAGAACTGCGTGCACCACACAGTGTACCATTTGTGAGAACATTTATAAAAGACACACAGTGTCACTTAAAAGAGCCACACAGTACGTGCACCACACAAGGTACCATTCGTGAGTCTCTGCGTTGGTGTGTCCGTCTATGCCCCCGTCCGTCCATCCGTCCAACTGTACGTCCGTCTATCTGTCCGTCCGTCAGTCTGTCCGTCTATGGCCCCGTCCGTCCATCCTTCCGTCCAAGTGTACGTTTGTCCGTCTGTCCGTCGATACCTCCGCCCGGCTGTTCGTCTGTCCGTCCATCGGTCTGTCCGTTTATGCCCCGCCCATCCGTCCGTGCGTCTGTGCATCTGTCAGTCTATATCTCCGCCCGCCCGTCCGCCCGCCCCTCAGTCTGTCAATCTGTCCGTCTGCCTGCTCGTCCATTAGTTCATCTGTCTATATCTGAACCCTCTGTTTATCAATCCCTCCACCCACACATCTATCCATCCATCTATCTATCTATCCGTCCGTCGCTCCGCCTGTCTGTCTGTCCCTCTGCCTGTGTGTGTGTGCGTGCGTGTGTGTGTGTGCGTGCGTGTGTGTGTGCGCACGTGCGTGCGTGCGCGCGCGCGTGTGTGTGTGTGTGTAAAAACATGTAGTAAACGTTTTATATGCGACAGCGCGGTAACAAAACCACATCCCGCAATCGGCAGTCTTACCCCGGCATGTTAAAGGCTCGCGTTGATGCGTCTACTCGCAGGCGAGACACATTGTGAAACATCATCTGTTCGAGAGAGTGAGAGAGGAGGAGCTGGAGTTGGAGCTGGAAAGGAGGAGTTGGAACAGGCTGCTTCCAAACGCGCTGGCTTTTGCGGATACTCAATTGCCGAGCAACGCCGTTAGAACGTCGCGTCAGCGTGACGATCAGCTACAGCTACCCGTTTGTCATTCGCGCCGGGCAGATGGTCGATTCCATCCTACACCCTGTGCCCCGCGGTAGTCGCGCGCATACGCGACAAATGCGTGTGACGTACGGAGCGATCCCAAGTAGTTAGGTTGCTGCCATGTTTCGCCGAGCGGCCGATCGCTGACGTCATGTTGGGGACTCGAAGTGGAGTGGTAGCGGATAGCGTGCAGTGCGGCCGCAACCTCAGAGCGAGGTCGTCGTATTCACGAGTCCGAGACGGTTACTTGCTCGCCGACGTACGTGGAAACTCGTGCGACACTGGGCGGTTGTATCCGACGTCTATATAATGCGAACGTCATTTAACTGTTGTGCAAGAAAAACTTGTTCACATCCGAGGCTTAATGTGAATAGTATGGATGGATAGTAATGTGGGTAAAATAAAGTGTATTTTCTAACATAGTATGGCCTAAATATTTTATTATGTTTGTGGGAAATTTGATAGCAACGAAGATATGGACATGGTTCATGCATTGTAAGTGCACAAAATTTATAGACATATTCACCCCTAGACATTCTGCAGCCGGATATCTGCGCGAAGCGCGCCAACGCCGCCCTGGCGGCGCTCTAACACGATTTCGCTGCCCCCCTCCTTCACCTTACACGGTTTACATATATAATGCAAGCACCAACTTCGCTGAATTGAGCAGTTCTGGCCATTCGACGATCGGTTTGACTATCCAGGGAGCTCAACATTTCTTAGAAATGCTCCTAATTCGAAGTTCGCTAGTCGGCGCGCTTTCTTTGCCGTAATAAACGCATTTCAAGTTTCTTCTTTGTTTGTTGTTGTTGATGAGTGTAGTACATATGGCGTGCGATAGACGGCGCAACGAACGCCGAATCTATAGGCATAGTAGACTGGTACCCGTTTGCCACCTTTACTCCGGCATATCGCTACACTGACGTAGCGTCTGGAACAGTCGACCGGGTACCAGTCTATATGTGTAACTCTCTTATTCATGTTGTTTGTGCACGCAGCACAGCTATGTTGTAGTACTACTACTCACAGGCACTTGGACCGTTTCAATAATAAAATGATGGTTAATAAATACAACTTGTCAGTAGCCTCAGGGAATAATTTTCCCGGTATCGCATCGCAATTCGCGATGTATTTTCAGCCATTTGCTACGCATATTTTTTTATGAATCGCAGTTGTGCGATGCAGCCCATGTAGAACATACAGAATAATAAGAATGTGTAATATTAACTTATAACTCACAAAAATACTCAGTGTAGTGGAATTGACTGACGATGTTCTATACCCCAAGAATTTGCATAAATGGTACGTTGAGTACATGTTACGTGTGCACACATATATCTACAAATAGCCCGACCATGAAGCCTGCAATACTAACGAACATCAATACACAGTCTTTTGATGTATGACCGTTTCTTGGCACTACAACACCTACGACGTTTGTAGTCATACCATTTGAAATTTATAATATGTATACATGTTATTTATATTTGTGTGTATAATGTTATAATTCCTATTTGAACAACCATGGCCTGCACTAGTAGAGACTGCACGTTTCCGCTTCAAAATTTGCCAAATTCCGTTTCGGAGATTACTAAATTCCACTTCAATTCCGTTTCAGCAAATTTCTACATTTTAATTCAGAAATAATTAAAATTAAGAGAAAACACTGATGGATGCCTGTTTTTTTGTTTGCAATTTTTTTTGGCTCTATAATTTCTTTTGGAGGGTTAAAGTGATGAATGTAAGATAAGTTTCCATAATCATTTTTGTGTGTTTTGGGAGGTTATTTTTGGTGAAACTGGTGATTCCGTTTCAGAGGGGGTGATTCCGTGATTTCCATCCATTTTCCGTTTTCATGGAAATGTGCAGTCTCTACACTAGCTGTACCCATGTAGACCCTTCGCTCTAGTTAAAGCAACCTGTTAAAGGTTATTCCCACAAAAATGCTGCATCATAGAGACAGGCACGCACAGCTACTAGAATTAGAGAACGACTAAAAGTGCCTCCAATAGTATGCCTAATTAAATACCAGTACCACACACTTATATGTTTATACAAATACATCTTTTCTCCATGTAAAATACTGTTTTCAGTACATGTATTTGTATGCAATAAAGATTTAATAATAACAATAACTAGAAAGGGCAGTTGTCGCCAACTACATGTATCCCCCGTGTTCTCCCCCAAGATGTGTAAGTATACGAAGTTTGGTCGCGCTAGGTCAATTAGGGGCCAATGTCAAGGTCAAGGTCAATGTCAAATAAAGGTTGCAGTGACCTGATTTCGGTACGCGACACACCTTCTCCCCAAGATGTGTAAGTATAGCAAGTTTGGTAGCGCTAGGTCAATTAGGGGCCGAGTTATAGAGCGGAAGGGAAATATGATCAAGGTCAACTTCAAGGTCAAATAAAAGCTGCAGTGACCTGGTTTTGGTACGCGACACACATTCTCCCCAAGATGTGTAAGTATAGCAAGTTTGGTAGCGCTAGGTCAATTATTAGGGGCCGAGTTATAGAGCGAAAGGGAAATATGATCAAGGTCAAGGTAAAGGTCAAATAAAAGTCGTAGTGACCTGATTTTGGTAGCGCTAGGTCAATTAGAGGCCGAGTTATAGAGCGGAAGGGAAATATGATCAAGGTCAAGGTAAAGGTCAAATAAAGGTCGCAGTGACCTGGTTTTGGTACGCTGCGCACATTCTCCCCAAGATGTGTAAGTATAGCAAGTTTGGTAGCGCTAGGTCAATTAGGGGCCGAGTTATAGAGCGGAACGGAAATATGATCAAGGTCAAGGTAAAGGTCAAATAAAAGTCGTAGTGACCTGGTTTTAGTATGCG